TTTATTATAAATATTTTACATTTAAATACAAAATATAATTTTATTTATATTATAAATTTATTTAAAAATAAAAAAAAATGGATTTAAAATATTAATTTTAAGTTTTTATATAAAAATTATTTTATGATATTTATTTTAGCAATAGAAGGGACATATTTGTTAACTGATAATTATTTATATTATTATAATTAAAATTGTTTATTTAAACTCATTTTAAATTGGTAAAACATTTAAACTATTTTTTATTAAAGTTTTTATATAGTTTTGCATTTTATAAACTTTGATATAGTTTTATCTTTTTTTAGATTTCACAAATTTTTATTTTTTACTATTTAGATGATTTGTCAAAACTTAAGTTTTGCCTAACAACTTAATTATAATTTTTTTTGAATTAATTATATAAAAATTTAAAATTCTAAAATAAATTATTTTATAAATATATATTATATTATAATTATTTTATTTTTAATTATATAATATAAAATCTAAAATTATTTATAAGTTAGAAATTTGTAATTTTTATTATTAATCTTATTAAATTTATTTTTAACTTATTAATTATAATATATATTATAAAATTTATATAAAAAATAATTTTTATTATTATAATTATTATAATTTTTTAGACTTATATTTAGTAAATATAATTTTAAGGAAATTTTTAAAACTTGATTTTTAATATTAAATCAATTTAAAAACTTCTTAATAAACTTAAAATTCTTCAAAAAAATTGATAAAATATATAATTTTTATATAATAATTATATTAAATTTATTATTTTATATTTTATTAAGAAATTAATACTTTTTTTAATAAGAATAAGTTTTTATATCAATTTGTATTTTTATTAGTATTCATAAAAAATAATATAATTAACAGCCAAAATTGGCCTTCTAAATAATTTATATGTTTACCAATTAAAACTAATCTAAGCCACTTTTATGTTTTTAACACCGACAATCGCACGTTATTGGTCGAGTAAGTTGAACCACAAAATTCACGCTTGTTACCAATATCCAAAAGAGAATTTGGAATAGCTATTACGTCGTCCCATATGATTTCCTAAAATAAACTTACGATCGAAATTCTCGCATTGTCTTGCGTTAAAACGGAATCAACCATTTTCAGCTTTTTTTTTGTTAAAAACTTAGACTATCTATTTATAACAATGTTACATAAGATTTGTATGCTGAACTTCTATGGCTCCTTTAATATATTTATATAAAGAACCCCACAAAATTCCTTGAGTTCGAAACGTCTTTGCATTTTTTTTATTTTTTTTTTATTTGCCATTTTTTTGTTTTTATATCTTTTAAGGTTTGTGTCTTTTATAGCTTATGAGCTTCTGTTTTACTGTTTTTTTTTTTTCAATATCTTGGTATTTTTTTTTTTTTTGTTTTTTTTATATATATTTCATTTTGAAAAGGGATATTATAAAGTTGAAAATCAAAATCAAAATTTTTCATAATTGCATATTTCTTTTGGTTTTGGTTTTTTTGTTTGATTTTTTTTTTCTCGTTAAAACTAATATCATTTATTGTTAAACTTATCTATTTATTCTCTGGGTTAAAACTTTATTTACTTAATATAAAGGAGAATGAAAAGCCCAAAATCTGCACTTTTAGGTAGTAAATCTAGATTTTTGAAAATCTTCACCAAAGTTATTAATGAAGATCCAAGAAATAGGACTATCAGTCGTAGACAGCTTTCGGCTTTATCACCGACAAAACCTCATTTTCCAAATGTACCAGAAGTTGAAGACGAAGGCTTTTTCACAGTTGAAGATGTGACTCCCAAGATAGGTGAATAAAGAATTTTATTTATCGCGCGTGGTAGTAGATATGGACGCATTTTATTTAATAATCTAATTGTTCCCAAATTAATATTAGTATGAATAAAATTAGTTCATTGTGCCATTACATTTTATAAATAATCAGTTTTTATCAATAATTAAATTTCTTAACATATATCTTTCATTTATACTTAGATTTTCTTATTTCCCTTCCATACGAAATAGCCGCGTATATACTTGTGTTTGTGGATTTTAAGACATTATGTAGAATGTCAAGAGTGTCTCGTGCATGGTATTGTATTTCTCGAGACAACGAAATATGGCGTGGCATGTATGCGTTAAATGAGGGATGGAAACACAATGTGCCACGCGAAGTTACGCTTGCAGGTGAAGTTGACTGGAAGCACATGTATAAAAATCGATATACACTTGCATTACGATGGAAAAAGGGTGAATGTGAAAAGCGATATCTTAAAGGACATTCAGATAGTGTATATTGCATTCAATTTGATGAACATAAGATTGTGACTGGATCTCGTGACAAAACCATTAAATTTTGGGACATTAACACTGGGAATTGTTTCCAGACGTTACATGGACATGATCTTTCAGTCTTATGTTTACAATATAATAATTATATCATGGTTTCAGGATCGAGTGATATGACAATTATAGTGTGGGATATGTCGAATTATAAACAAAATGTGCCTCAATTGATGCGGTTGGAAGGACATTGTGCTGGCGTATTAGACATTTGTTTTGATAGTTATCATATAGTCTCTTGCTCAAAAGATAGTACGATTAAAGTTTGGGATGTACAAACCGGTGAAAATCTTCGTACTTTATCCGGTCATCGAGGTCCAGTTAATGCGGTTCAACTTAAGGATAATAGAATCATTTCGGCCTCTGGTGATGCCTTAATTAAACTTTGGGATTTAGAGAAGGGAACGTGTATTAGAGATTTTGTTGGGCATACACGTGGGTTGGCATGTGTTCAATTTGATGGAAAATACGTTGTTTCAGGATCTAATGATAGAACAATTAAGATATGGGATGTTGAAACAGCACAATGTATTCGAACTCTTGATGGACATACTGATTTAGTTAGAACGTTACATTTTGACAATGACAAAATTGTCAGTGGAAGCTATGATCAGACTGTTAAAGTTTGGGATTTGAAATCTGGGAAACAATTGCTTGATTTCCACGAAGGTCATACAAGTTGGGTATTTGACGTCCAGTTTAGTTTAACAAAAATTGTTAGGTAAGTTATCTAATCGAATTAAACTTTTTCCTTCGAATTTGAAATAACACCTCCTTCCTATGACCTTGAAAAATAATAGTTCAAGTCAGGATCAAAAAATACTGGTGATGGATTTCGCTGATGATTTGGACACAAGATACGTTATTTAATTATCTTAGTGAACATTAACTTTTTTCATTTATGCATGATTCAAATATCATAATTAGTATTATGGTTAACTGGACTTTCATTCTTCCGAAGGATAATTTATTTTAACCATGTGATAAATTGTTTCCCCCCTAAAATTCTATATAATAGATGATCCTATCTTCAATGTTCATATTTTTTCTTATTTAAATTTTTTTTTTTTAATTTTTTTTTTCCTAATTGTATACATTTCTTTTTGTCATTATTGGTATAACCATCCTTATAAACAGTTCAATTGACATAATATGTATTTATGAATACGTATTAACCATTCATAATAATAAAATTTTTGTAATTTATTCATAAGTCATTTGGATAAAATAATGATTACCATGTTTGTACTCTTTTTATTATATTTTATTGTATGCTATTGGTTAGGACTTTTTTTTCGATCTATTTCACGAACAGATTAACGAAATTCCTGAAAATTCCGAAGATTTTTAGGTTACACGAAGATGATGAATGATAACAGAAAATTTCACTTTACAAAAATTTTTCTAATATATTAGTATATTGCTTTGGAGTTAGCGAGCGGTCTTTTACAATGAATTTCCTTCACCGTGCAGCGTCAGGGTTTATACGCAGAAAACCGGCGTTTGGCAATAATGTTTCCTCTTTGAATCTACTAAGAAATGGAATATATCCTATCGCTTTTAAAAGTATACAAATTTTTTTTTCTTTTTTTTTTTTTTTTGATAAAATTTTTTTTTTTTTAAAAAAAAAATTATATATTTATATTTATATTTATAATAATTTTTTCTCGTAAAATTCTAATAGACCGGAGGTCGTATGCCTCCGAGGCTAATACCGGTACAATTCAAGCAATTATTGGAGCTGTAGTTGACGTACAGTTCAGCGAAGCAAACTTGCCTTCCATTTTAAATTCTTTGGAAGTTGAAAAAGAAGGTAGTCGTCTTGTACTTGAAGTATCACAACATTTAGGACAAAATGTTGTTCGAACGATTGCTATGGACGGTACAGAAGGTAAATAATCTTTTATAAAATTTCGAAATATTTTCAATAATTATGAGTTATGTATATATAATACATATCATTTAAATTCGACATAGGTCTCATCCGTGGGCAAAAAGTCGTGGATACTGGGGCACCAATTAGAATTCCTGTTGGTCCAGAATGTTTAGGACGTATTATTAATGTCATCGGTGAACCTATCGATGAACGAGGCCCAATTAAAACCAAAAAGTTGGCTCCAATTCATGCCGATGCACCAGAATTCGTTGATCAATCTACAACACCAGAAGTTCTTGAAACTGGTATTAAAGTTGTAGACTTATTAGCTCCTTACGCAAAAGGTGGTAAAATTGGTCTATTTGGAGGTGCTGGCGTTGGAAAGACTGTATTGATTCAAGAACTTATCAACAACATTGCCAAAGCTCATGGTGGTTATTCAGTATTTTGTGGAGTAGGAGAACGTACTCGTGAAGGAAATGATTTGTATCACGAAATGATTCAAACAGGTGTAATTCAACTTGATGGTAAATCAAAGGCTGCTCTTGTATTCGGTCAAATGAACGAACCACCGGGTGCACGTGCTCGTGTCGCTTTAACTGGTCTCACCATTGCCGAATATTTCCGTGATGATGAAGGACAAGATGTATTGCTTTTTATTGATAATATTTTCCGTTTCACTCAAGCTGGTTCCGAAGTATCTGCTTTGTTAGGTCGTATTCCTTCCGCTGTGGGTTATCAACCTACCTTAAGGTATGATAAAGTTGTTTAAATTAAAAACGTTAAAATTATTATATGACTTATTATTTCTAATTTAAACCCATTTGTTTTAAAATTCAATTTTATGTAATTGTTAATTTTATAAGTACTGATATGGGTAGTATGCAGGAAAGAATTACAACAACAAAAAAAGGATCCATCACCTCCGTACAAGCTGTATACGTACCGGCAGATGATTTGACTGATCCGGCTCCAGCCACAACTTTCAGTCATTTGGACGCAACGACCGTATTATCACGTGGTATTGCCGAACTCGGTATTTATCCGGCTGTGGATCCTCTTGATTCGAAATCTCGTTTATTGGACCCTCGTGTAGTTGGAGAAGAACATTATAGGGTCGCTACCGATGTTCAAAAGATTCTTCAAGATTATAAATCTTTGCAGGATATTATTGCCATTTTGGGTATGGATGAACTGTCAGAAGAAGATAAAGTAAGTAAATCAAATAGTTATCTCTATATAAAAAATTTTATGAAAATTCGTTTTAAATTTATCTTTTATTAGCAAACTGTCGAACGTGCAAGAAAAATTCAAAGATTCTTGGTATGTATTAATTGTGTAAATTCTTAAATGAAGAAGCAGCAAATTATTAATGTTTCTACATATTGTAATTAGAGTCAACCATTTGAAGTTGCTCAAGTTTTCACTGGTTTTGAAGGACGTCTTGTAAAGTTAAAAGACACCATTCGTTCATTCAAAGAAATCTTGGAAGGTAAATGTGATGACCTACCTGAAGCAGCTTTTTATATGGTTGGTGATGTCGAAGATGTTAGAAAGAAAGCAGAAAGTATGTACTATATTATGTTGTTTTATCTTATTTATTTTTATATATTTAATATTTATATAAATGCATATATTTTTTTAGCCATCATAAAAGAATTAGGAGAAAACTGAAACATCGGATAGAATTTTTGGAGATATTTTGATGTATATTCTTTGCAAATTCTCGATAATTAAAAAGCATATTTAAAAATTTGTATTAATTTAAATTAAACTTAATTGTATAAATGCTAATATTGATGCCGACCAGAATTAAGTTTGATTGGGCAAAATTATGATCTTTTATAATGGAAAGTTAATTTGTCTCACATTTATTGAACTGGAATAGAATACACAAAAAAAGTAATTTGTTTTTACCCGTAATTGGGAAATGAATAAAAAAAAATCAAAGTTTTTTTTTTTTTTTTTTTTTTGAACTTGGTAGTCATTGTTTCAAGCAATTATGTCACTAGCATTTATTTGATTGACTTTTATACATGTAAAATCGATTGACTTCGTTTAATTTCTTACCCATTTTTTAAATCTTACAATCGCTTCTCATACTACTTAAGTATAAATTGCCGACAACTTATTTTGTTTGTTTCCCCCCAACAAAAGACTGTAATCTAAAATTTTAAAATAAAAAAAAAAAAGTAAAAACATTTTTCTCTTCCATTTATACAAACTAACACTATACTGTTAAAGGTTAATAAGTTTTGGACCGCCGGTTCAGATCACCTGACTAATCTTGAACTCGGTGTATTTATTCGACTATTTTGTGTTTAGCTGAACACTGTTTCTTTCCATTTATTTTTCTTGGAAGGAAAAAAAAAAACACTATAATCTTAATCTGTATAACAAACATTATTCTTAACATTCATTTGATTTGCCTTATCCAATTTAATAACCTTATAATTGAATAAAATATTTCCGTTTGTAATTATCAAGAGTATATATTTATATATATATATATTTTTTTTTTAAAAAAAAAAAAAAAAAAAATAGAGTTTTTTTTTGTATATAAGGGGGTATGGACACTACCGTTCTTACCAAAACCACTCAATTATCACCAAATGACATTCATACAGGTCTTGGTAAAGTGAAACCGTATCATAGTACCTCGGATTTATTTATTGATGATTCAAGCGAATTGGAGGATCATTTGCATTTTTCAGCGATATCATTAGATCCTGATCCAATGGTCGGGGACACTCATTATGTTTCAAGTACAAGTAGTGGGCATGGATCCTCTATTATTACAAGTCCAGCACCATCTTATATTGCTCATTTACCTTCTAAATTAAAGAATTTTTTTAGAATAAGTGGAGCGAGTCATAAAAAAGAAACTTCTACTAATTCATCTACAAATGGAGGAGGATTAGAGGAAATGGGTTCTTCAACTTCTCTTTCATCAATTTTATCAAACGGTAGTCAGAAGATGGATAATAATAATAATAATAATAATCATAATCATAATAATAATGTAAATTGTTGTTCACAAAATGGATCATTATCAAAAAATAATGAAAAAAGTAAAACAATTGGACCTTGGTTTCTTAAAGACGGAAGTTATAATCAAAAATTACGTAGAGTAGCTTCTGCACCTAATACAAAAGCATTAAATGAAAATGAAAAAATTTCTTCTCATTCGCAATTGTCACAACAACCAATTTTAGGAAAATCTAATAACAATGAAAATTTATCTGTTCCAGTTAGGCCTTTGTCAGATATGAAACGTTCAGGAACTTTTAGAAGAACTTACTCTTCAAATTCTATCAAAATTAAAAGAGTTGAAGTTGGTCCGAATAGTTTTCAAAAGGTTAAATTATTAGGGAAAGGTGACGTTGGTAAAGTTTATTTAGTTAAGGAGAAAAAAACCAGTAAACTTTACGCTATGAAAGGTAAATATCCGGAAAAAGGGAATTTATTAACCTTTTGTTTTTTATTTTTAAAAAAAAAAATTGTTTCCTTTTTTATAGTTTTATCGAAAAAAGAGATGATTAAACGAAATAAGATTAAGCGAGCCCTTGCCGAACAGGTTTGTTATAATTAAATAGAGTAAATTTTCTTTTTTTATAATTCAATTTAATTCAATCAATCGTTTTAATTTAGGAAATCCTTGCGACATCAAATCACCCTTTTATCGTAACATTATATCATTCATTTCAGAGTGAAGATTATTTATATTTATGTATGGAATATTGTATGGGAGGAGAATTCTTTCGTGGTAAGTTTTAAGCGCGAACAATTTGTCAATTAAAATGAAATGTTTATTAATGTTCGATTTCTTAGCTTTGCAAACAAGGCCTGGTAAATGTCTTTTAGAAGAAGATGCAAAATTCTACGCTGCTGAAGTTATTGCAGCTTTAGAATATTTACATTTAATGGGGTTTATTTATAGAGATTTGAAACCTGAAAGTGAGTAAAATATTATCAATTAATAACAAAAAGTTTTATTTTTTAATAATCTTGGTTCTATAAATAGACATATTATTACACCAATCAGGACATATTATGTTATCAGGTATGATCCGAAATTCTTTTATGTATATCCTTATCGCATTGTTTCCTTTCACGTCGATTATTAAATGTTTTCATTTATAATAATTTATAATATCAGATTTTGATTTGTCAAAACAATCTCATCCTGCTAACATGCCTACTATTGTAAAAAATAGTGGAGGCAATGCTGTAAGCCATTATAATTTATGACATAAATATGATTACGTGATTTTACAAATTTTAACCTTTTTTTTATTTATAGCCTCCATCAATAGATACCAAGTCATGTATCGCTAATCTAAGGACAAACTCATTTGTAGGCACTGAAGGTAATTAATTAATATATCATATACTTTGTATTTATATTTGATAATTTATTCATACAATTCTTTCATTTCTTTTAAAGAATACATTGCTCCTGAAGGTAATTTGATTTGACATACATTCATGTTTTTCATTTGTTTATTAATTTAACATGTTCGTTTCTAAAATTTTTTTTTTTAGTTATTAAAGGATGTGGACATACAAGTGCTGTGGATTGGTGGACACTTGGAATCTTAATATATGAAATGCTGGTATTTTAAAAAAAATAGATATTTATTTATTTATTTATTAATCTTATATTAATTCCATTTCATTATGATAGTATGGATTT